TCGGCGACCGCATCTCGGTCCGCATGCTCGAGTATCTGACCATGCTCACCAAGCAGCCTCACGGCCTCGACGTCCTGGCCCACGACTTCCTCGACACGTGCGAAATCCTCTTCTCCATTGAAGCAGGTCTCGGCGAGTGCATCCGCAACCAGCAGACCTTCCCCGGCGATGTCATCTCGGAGCTGAGCAAGAAGTTCCGCGTCACCCAGGCCGACTTCCAGCTCCTCGACCAGATGCTGGGCAAGTTCCTCGAGAACGAGCGCAAGGGCGCCATGGGTCGCATGCGACGTGGATGGGGACGAATCTTTGGTGACAATGATATCGAGAAGATGATCATCGCCCTCGGTCGCACGCGCGAGAGTCTTCGCATGAGCGCCTTGATGTTCCAGTGGAGTCTGGGCAATGAGAAGATTGAGAATGAGCTTGGAATCGGCTACACTGGCCTCGCTGCCGCCCTCGATCGCATGGACACTCGAGCTGGTGTCGCCCGAGCCAAGTCTGAAAGCCATGGATCACAGTACAGGCCTTCGTCGGCCTCTCAGCATCGCGGTATTGAAGGCCATAGTGTCATCAGCACCAACCAGCCCCCATTGCCTCCTCTGCCTTGGGCCGAGCGCACCTCTTCCATTACCCAGGAGCCTCTCAGCCCTGGTCTTGCCGACCTCCGAGTTTATGGAGGCTCCAACAACATCAACACTGCCAGCTCCATCAGCTCCAACGAGCGATATCACTCTGGAACCACCGCGACCTTTGATCGCATGAGCACCTTTGACGAGTCGCATGAGACTCGCTCCCAGCACACCGCCCTCTCCGACAGCGAAGCTTCACTCGAGGAGCTCTCCGGTCTTGACCTCAATGGCGGAACCAAGGTTGTCCGACTAAAGGCTGATCCCTTCAGCATGCCTCGATGGAACCCTAGGAACACTGCTGGCGCCGATGCCGCCAACCTCAAGTCGGCTCTAATCTCTGCTGTCCGTGGCAAGAACCACAAGCTCATTGAGCAGCTTCTGGATCGCGGCGTCTCGCCCAACACTGGACCTGAGCAGATGGCTCTCAAGGAAGCTGTCCTGAACAGCGACGCTGAGGCTGTTCGTCTTCTTCTGCTTTTCGGCGCCGACCCCAACGGCACTGATCGCGATGGTGTCACCCCTCTCTTCGCCGCTGTCGAGAAGTCTTTCCTCGCTGGCGCCGTTCCTCTCCTCAAGTATGGTGCCGACCCCAACTTCACTCGTGGTCCGGACAATGAGACCGCCATGGCCGCCGCTGCCATCGCCAACAAGGTCAACTTTGCTCACCTTCTCCTCATCTATGGTGGCGACCCCAACCAGCTCACCGCTACCGGTGAGACCCTTCTCATCAGCGCCATCAACAAGAAGACGCCCAAGAAGTTCATCGACCTCATCCTCGACTACGGCGCCGACCCCGACGCTAAGAGCAGAGAAGGCAAGACTGCCCTCTTCGAGGCTATCCAGAACTCCAGGGTCGACATCGTCACCAGTCTGCTTGACCACAAGGCCAACCCTAACCTGCCTGGTCCCAAGCACATGCTCTGGCCCGCCACCTACCAGACTGCCTGCTTGCAGGTCCTCCTCTCTCATGGAGCTGACCCCAAGAAGTGCCCTGGTATCATGGAACTCGCTGCCAGTGTCAACAACATCGAGTCTGTCAGGGTCCTCCTCAACGCCAAGGTGGATCCCAACGCGAAGAAGGACAACACATATACACCCCTCTGCACGTCTATCCGTGACAACCGTGGTGACATCTTCAGTCTTCTCCTGGCCAACGGCGCTGATCCCAACGTTCCTGCCGCTGAGTACCCGGCCTTCAAGTGTATCACACATAACCGCCTTCACTTCCTCCCCGCTCTTGTCGAGGCTGGCGTCAACCTCAGCTCTCCCAAGGGCATTGTCGAGACGGCTGTCAGCGTCAACAACATGGAGGCTCTGAACTGGCTCCTCGACCAGGGCATGAGCCCCAACGACAAGAACCCCAAGGGTCACTCTCCTCTCACTACCGCCATCCGAGAGAACAGGATCGAGATGGTCGACCTTCTTTTGACCCGCGGCGCCGACCCCAACGTCCGTGGTCAGGACTGGCCCGTGTGCATGGCCGTCCGCAACCCTCCCGTCCTCAAGCGAGTCCTCTCTGTGCTCGCCGAGCCCCGTGCCTTCAAGGGAGTCATGGAGATGGCCGTCGTTGCCAACCAGCTCGATTCCGTCAAGCTGCTCCTCGCCGCCGGCGTCTCGGTCGAGGACAAGAATGGTGGTGTCTTTTCACCCCTCACCTCCGCCATCCGAGAGGACCGCAAGGACATTGTCTACTTCCTCATCAACGAGGGTGGCGCAGACATCAACGCCCCCGGCGAGCATCTCCCCGTGGTCAAGGCCCTGCGAAGATACCGCGGCGACGGCGAGATCCTCGAGTTCCTCCTGGAGCACGGCGCCGACCCTAACAAGCTGTACCGTGGCTGGAACGCTGTGATGCAGGCCGTCGAGAACGGCGACGAGGACATCCTCCGCCTGCTGGGCGAGAAGGCTGGCTTCGACCTCGAGGTCAAGGACGAGCTAGGCCGAAGCGTGACTGAGATTGCCGCCTCAAGAGGCTGGGACGAGGCCGTCGATGTCCTGATGGAGTACGCCGCCAAGCCGTCGGAGAAGGCTCACTAGACGATGGACAACGGGTATTGTAAGATGACGAAACTTGTTTCTGGGTAATCACGCACGTTATTGGGTCGAGGGTTTAGGATCTGGAGTCTTTGAGATTGTCTTTTGCGGTCGGTAATGGGACGGTGGTTCAAAGGTCCTGGCTTTTATATCCTCTGTTTAGACACAGACAGACATTTTTCTTTGTATATTCCCCTGTTCGTATAGTAGTCTGGCTTTTCCCGGTTTTCACTTACTAGAGATAGTTTTCTATGTCTAATCTACTTTATCAAGTTATACACTGCTACAGAATGGTGATTCAATCGTGTCAATTAATTGGTTTGAGCGATAATTCTTTTACTTTACAGCTTGGTTCCCATGTTTACATGAACTGCCTTGATCTGTGTGTAGGCTTCGAGACCTGCCTCACCAAGCTCCCTACCAATACCGCTCTGCTTGACACCTCCGAATGGCACGCGAGGGTCACAGTCTTGGCTGCTGTTGATCCAGACCATGCCGGCCTCGATCTCTGCCGCGACCCGATGAGCCTTCTCCAGGTTTGTGGTAAAGGCAGCAGCTCCCAGTCCGTATGTGGTATCGTTGGCAAGCTCAATAGCTTCCTCCTCGGTCTTGAAGGTGGTGATGACCACGACAGGACCAAAGATCTCCTCGCGATAGACGCGCATCGAGGGCTTGACCTCAGTAAAGACTGTCGGGGCAATGAAGAAGCCCTTGTCGGAGCCTCCAACCTTGAGAGGGTGGCCTCCAGCTGCCACGACAGCACCCTCCTTCTTTCCAATGTCGATGTACTCGAGAACCCTCTCGTATTGGACCTTGGACACCTGGGGACCCTGATATGTATCCTTGTCCCATTGGTTCCCAACTTTGCTTACGACATTGAGAGTGTCGATAAACTTCTTGATGAAAGCGTCGTAGATGGTGTCTTGAACCAGGATTCTCGACGTGGCAGTGCAAATCTGTCCCTGGTTGGACATGATGCCAAAGTGTGACCACTTGACCGCCTGCTCCAGGTCCGCATCGTCAAAGACGAGCAATGGCGACTTGCCGCCAGTCTCGAGTGTGATGTTCTTGAGCGTCTTTGCAGCGACGCCCATGATGCTAGCAGCCGTCGCCGTGGAACCGGTAAAGGCGATCTTGTCCACAAGAGGATGTTGCACCAAGGCAGCTCCCGTGTCTCTGCCAAGTCCATTGACAATGTTGACGACTCCCGGGGGGAAACCGGCCTCCTTGATGAGCTCTCCCAGGACGAGGATGCTCAGAGGTGTTTGCTCGGCGGCCTTGAGGACAACAGTATTACCGCAGGCGAGGGCAGGCCCGAGTTTCCATGTGGCCATAGAGAGGGGATAGTTCCAAGGGATGATCTGTGCGACAACGCCGATGGGCTGACGGATTGTGTAGGCGAACTTTTGAGGGTTTGTGCTGATGGTCTGGCCAAACGTCTTGTCGGCCCAGCCAGCGTAATAGCGGATGACGCCGACAGCCTCGACGAGGTCGTTCTCCAACGTCTCGATGTATGTCTTGCCATTGTCCCAAGCGTCAATGGTGGCAAAGAGCTCCTTCTTAGACTCTATCAACTCAGCCAGGCGGTACATCAGTTGACCGCGGTCAGAAGCAGGAAGCTTCTTCCATGACTCGTGGCGCAAGGCGGCTCTGGCAGTCTTGACGGCCTTGTCGATGTCTTCAGCATCAGCGGCTTGCACAGTGGCAATGAGCTCTTCAGTGCTGCAGTGGAAATGTCAGTAATTACATTAATGAATTAATGCTGATTGAACATACGCAGGATCAATGGAGTCAATGGTCTTGCCGCTGGAAGAAGCGACAAACTCGTTGCCGATAAACAGGCCAGTGGGCTGAGACCACTTGACTCCATTCGGAGCCGTCAATTCAACAGAGGGAGGCGCCATGACGAATAATTACTGCAAAAAGGACAAGGGTTTAACGATCTGGGGATAACAAGTTTGAGTCTGGGGTTGGCGAAGCTGGTTTCTTGTACCCTTGAGAGCGGCGACCGGAAACAGTATCCAATTGATGATGGAAGCTTCTCCTCTACTTTCTGAGCCAGGTTGGTGATGCCGATGACTACAACTCGTTCCCTTTGCGAAACCAAGTCGCGGAAACCTTCTTCTTTTGAAGCAGCCTCCGCTCTAAATGGAGCAATCAGATAAGCCAGCAGTGAGACGCCAAAACCCCGCCTCGCTCTCTCTCCACAGAGGGGCAGAATGACGTGGTGAGTTTTCGGGGCGAAGAGAAGGGCCTCATGACTGAGGGGTTTGTTATCTTTATCCCATAAGAGTAGGTAGAAGGAGATGGTTTCAATTAGGTGGTTATTCTTGCTATCTACAGGCTAGACTGTCGCTTCGCAGCCGCCTCCTCCGCTACCGCTCTCGGGATCTCGGCCTCAATGCCCTCTTCTGCGGGCTTCCATCCCAGCAGCTCAGCGCCACGACGGGCGTTGCTTCTAGCGTTGCTGCCGAACAGGACAGAGCTGTAGGGCAGTACAGTGTCGGCCTCGGGCTGGTGAAGCTCCTCCACTTCAGTGGTCTCCAGAAGGCCCTGGTCCTTTGCCGCTTGGGCGACTCTGTCCGAGATGTCGGCCCACGACTGAGGGGAGAATAGTTAGCATATGTAGCGCGCATGGTGGGAAACGTGGTACTCACAATCTCTCCAACACCTGTCAGATAGATGCCATCCTCTCCCCAGATCTTGCTATCGTCATTGCCCTTCGCGCCAGCCTCAGCCAAAACGGTAAACAGCCTCGCAATGTCGGCGACATGAACGTTTCCCCATCGGCTCAGACCCCGCCCGACTCTTACTGCACGGCCTCTCTCCAGGGCGACCTTGGCCAGCGCGGGGATCTGGTAGCTGCGCTGCTTGATGGGGCCTTGACCCTTTCCGTAGATGATGGGGGGTAGAACGAGAGCTGTCTTGACTGAAGGTGTTTGCTTGGCGACATCTAGAATGTAGTTGTCAACCGCCCGCGACTTGTGGGCTTTGAGAAGGTCTCGGATGGATGCGACGCCAGCGAGGTCATCCCAGACGTCATCTGAAGGCTCTCCAGGCTTGAATGATGGAGATGCCAATTCCTCTACAGCAAGGCCGCTGGCCCCAGAAATTTGAACCCAGTAGCTGGGGGTCTCTCGCTTTCGCAACCCGCGATGAATAGCCTGCACGCTGCCGAAGTGGCTGTTTGACGCGACATCTACACGCTCTGTCAGTGGAGTCATCACCAGCGCTTGTTGGAGTCGCAACACGTACGCACTACAACAGAGGCCTGAGAAGCCTCTTGCTCCACCAGATCACCATCGTTAAGATCGCCAATCACGGTGCGAATCTTGGGGTAGTCCTGCGAAATGGTCGCTGCAGAGTTGGTATCACGAACAAGAGCCGTGATGGCGTACTCTGGGTGACCGCGCACCAGCTCGCGAAGGACCTGGCCACCAACATAGCCGGACGCGCCAGTGCTGGGTAGAGTGTCAGTAATATGCATACACCATGAAAGAGATGGTAGAAGCCTCACAGGAAGATTGAAGACATTTTGGCAGTTGTGATGGATGAGATGAGAGATGTGATGTGGTTGCTACACTGAGACTAGGTACGACTCAAGATGGGCTATTTATGCCCTCATGCACGCAAATTATTAAGCTGCACATGTGAATTACGACACTGTGGGGAGAATGGCGCTACTTATGCTCCGACTTTTGCTTGGAAATACTTGAGACGAAAGAGCAATTGTCCCGCCGCCACTTGCATCGAGAATCGCGTTTGCTTGCTTAAGTGATCGGGCTCTGTGCCCGTCGCGGAGACCTGCCATTTTAGTGTCGATGAGACGATCCCATCACCAACTGACTCTGCAACCACCAAGTTGGGTGCCGCTAGGATCGCGAAAATGGATGCAGTAGCCGACACTTGCCGTTGTTATAATATCGGGATGTATTTTTAATTCCGTATTGAGCCATCTCTATGACTCCCAGAAAGAGTTCAAGGCCGGGGTAGCCGCCCTGTCACGTTCTCGCTGACAGGCCAAATTTACGTTGAAGGGGCCGTGTGCGAGAACAAGGACTATACTAGCGTTTAAACCTGGCGAACGTGGCCCCAGGGAACGGCAAACAAGTGAACCAAAGTATATTCACAATATAAAACGACACTGAGACCATAGAGCTCCGGCCATAACCTGCGACCGGTTTGCATTGCACAATCTTATGCCCATCACTCAGGTTTCGTAGCGTAGACCGACCAACTGGGACATGATTAGCTCGCTCCTAGATTCCATGGTCATTCAAATCTGCACACTCACATGGGCCAGTATGAATGGATCGTGTGATCTTTGATATCCTTCCGGACCTCGATGAGAAAAACCTCCAGTTCTTCACTCGTCCACCCGAGGCCGCCTTGCCCCTCGGGACGTGTAAATACAGCCAAGCTTATCGCCGCCAAGGCATCCATGGTATTCTGATTAGCCCATGTTCCTAATAGCCAATAGTTAGCGACTGCTAGAAAATCTAGACTTCATCCTCCAAGTCTTACCGATTTGCTTGTATATCTTGGCCTTGGGCCAACGATTCATCGGCCACTTGCGCTGCACCACGTGAACATCAACAAAGCCAGCCGCTTCAAGCTGCTCCTTGTACTTTAACGCGCTATCAAGCGGAGAGCCCATGGCGGCAAAGGTTCGTAGAAGCAGAGTCGCCCACTTGTAGAGTGGTGAGTCCTCAGACAGTGTACCGTCGTCAGATCGAGGGGGGTAGATGATATCCATGATTTCGATCTTGCCGCCTGGGTTGAGGAACCTGGGGAAAAGAATCAGTTAAACAAGGGCAAGGAATGTGAGGAGAGTTGTTTCTACTCAAAGCTCTGATTAAAGAACTTGGGCCAGTCTCGGATTGACCCCGTGAGGAAGCGCGAAAAGATAAAGTCAAACTTGGTCGAGTAATCCCAGACGTCTTCAAGATCGTCGACAAAAAAGGAGACATTGGGTGGGACGCTGGAATACACGTCAGCGTAATATTGAGCATATCATGGCTGTGTGATACCTACGCTGATGGCTGGATGGGACTTAGATCGACGCCAGTAACCTGAGACATGATCAGTTGTGAGCTCAATCCTGGCCACTGGAGAGTTATTCACTTCGCACTCGGGATGCTCGTCCGCTAAAAACTTGTTAGAACATTCACATTCGTTCTCGTCAACCATAATGGGACCGTACCAAAGTCAATAGCCCAGATCCCCGTGCCACAACCGGCATCCAACACCCGACGGAGCGGCTGAGTCAAGGGAGCAGCATGCAGTCTCCCTTCAAATGTGAGGGCAAACAAGTGATGTTGAATATCTGCGTGAGATAAGCTCGTTACGGGTCTTGGTTGGGGCTCAAGCTAAGTACCTAGTCGCTCGTTCTCTGTCTGCACCCAGTCAAGTCAGTCACGAAGCTACGGGGTGGTTTAGCTGTGTGGGGTAACAAGACCTCGTCGTTTGGAAAGACATAAACTGCATCGGTTCAGTCAGTGAACGTGGCGTCACTTCGGATCTACAAGCGTAATTACCACCGTCCTTGTATGCATGATATGTCCGGCCATTCTCCTCACGATACCTCAAAATGCTGGATCGCAGAGAAGTGGTGTCACTCGCGCCATCCACGCCGAGGGCTGAGTCGCCATCATCAACAGTCACGTTGTCGGGCTACAAGATAGTTCAAGGCGGTCAGAAGACTTGCAAGGGCATCCAATATGTGGTGTATTCCTACATTGTCATCGGCCTCGAGCACAGGTGTCTCAGGATTCTGTTCTTGGGCCATGGTCAGGAATCGGTATCGTTCGATGGAACTGTGCCAGCTGTCAAAGCGGGGGAATCCTGGTTTAAGTTTGAGCGAAGCCCGCCTTGGATTAAATAGCTGGGCGCTAATACCATAAACAGGGGTCTTGGGGTTAACGTGACTGCCTAGACTAGACTAGGTAATCAATCGTATGAGAGGGCCTTGATTGCTATATACTTGCGCCATCAAGAAGAAGAAGCCGACATGAATGCCCTTCAGTTCATGGCTTTTGATGATATCTTGACAATAAGAAATACATCCTGATGGCGGTAAACTGTGGCTTTCCTTCGTGAAGATGGCTGGTTTCCTGGTGCTAGTATTACTAAGGGGATTCATAATCAACGTGGATCTTGAACTGCTACATATAGTGCTCTGACAGAATTAAATGTAATTGCTCAGCAATCACTGATGAAAAGGTGGTATCTGTCTAAACCAAGGTACATCCTCCCCAGTGTTTTCCTTCAGCTCCTGGAACTGAAGCTTGTTGTCCCCCTCCACGAATGTCACCGGAGACGGGCGAGTTCTATTAACCCTCAAGTCAAAGACACTAGACGTTGATATCCACCGACAACACCGCGATCAATGTAATATAATAGTAAAAGATAAACCTCAGTCAATAAGAACCGTTTGCCACCAAGCACATCTCTCGTTCGCGGCCGGATCTCTCCTTGTCACGATGACATCTTTGCTCAACACTGTGAGAGTCGCACCCTCGCTGCATGTCAAAAGCTCTGAAAGACCATCCTCCTGACTTTCGGGTATATCCTGCACAGCAAAACTCGTGAAATAGTCCTGCATCACGTACGCAATCGTTTGGTTGTCTCCCCACATCGTAAGCACTGGGAGCCACTGGTAGACAACGTCCGGGTTGTAGAAGGTATACTCAACATCCTGTGCGTGAAGTCCAGGGAAAACATCAAAGAGGTAGGAAGAATGGTTTCCGTATGCGCTGTTCAAAGCATAGGCATTGCAAACAAAGGTTCCTTCACCCATGGTCAGCGCGGCGCGCCCAACCTGGTCTTGATATCCCCTCGAGCCATCGAAGACAGGCGGGTAGAGGGTGTTCGTAATGTGATCAATAGCATCGTCGCGGGCGGCAGGAAAGTTGTTACTGATGAAGTCCAAATATTGCGCATTGTAGGTAATCGGAGGAGTAAAGACCCTCGTTCGAGTTCTGCCCGACCACGATCCTCACAGATGCGTCGAAATGGCCCTGGGCGAGCGCTGCTTTTGGATCCTGGGTAACGAAGACATCAACAGAGGGGCCAAAGCCATAGCTGCCGTATGGCGAGGCAAAATTCTGGCGATCATTGGCATCCATCAATTGGTGACTACTATACTGGTCCATCCATCAAGAGTTACATGTCGCCTTTGGCTGTCGTCATTGACATGGAGAACAATGTGGCAGCGATTCCAGGCTCGGGTGACACCCCGGCCGTTTTCACCCACTCCCTTGATATCGGACGATATGTCGATGCGGCACTAGATCTAGAGAGGTGGGATCCGTTCTACCGCATTGTTGGAGACAAAATTACTTGGAATCGCTTCGTAGCGGCTGCTCAAGACGCAAAAGGTTAGTCATGTCAGTATCTAGAGTTTGAGGCGCTTACTGGCTCGGTCTTGGTGTTGCAGGCACGCCGTTTAGAATCATTCATGACAGTGTGGAAGACCTCAAGAAGGGTGAAGCCACAGTTCTTCCCTCGGTGGACAAATATCTGCATCTCATGTCCGTGCCCAGCAAGACGGTACTGTCTCAATTTCTTGCCACTTTTGGGCGGCTGTTTGACGATGGGTCTTTTAACATAGAGGAGAAAGGGGCGCTGAACAGCATGTTCTCCGACATCAAACCTTTGACGATTCAGCACGCGGTAGAGGCTTCTGTGCAGTCGGATAGCATGTATTAGTTACTATAACAGCTGTTACTGGGCAAGACTATATTAAATTGTTATCTGAACATACGGTGGGCTTTGGAAGCGTGTCGCCTATAACATGTCTGCCGTTTGCTCATCGTCTGATGCCAAGGCGATTCCCGAAGTTCCATAGAGCACAGCCTATCCTTGGTCTTGCCGCTCAGTTATCCCATCACGGGCCGGGCTTCAACTACAACAAACAACGCATTATCAGGGCATCCTCTCTATCTGGAATTGGTGACCCGGACCATGTTTGGGACGAACAATGCAGTATATTTGGCTCAGTTGGAGAGAACCTGAGGTGGCACGGGGGATCAAGGACCTTATCCAGTATTGGACGGACAAAACGATGTCAACTCTACAGGGCAGTGGCGCCGTCTTTATCACGTCATCTCCCGGTAGTCTCGGGGTAGACTTCGTGAGGCCTACCGTGTTAGAAACCGTCTATTACATTCTTTTGGAAGGAAAGGAATGAAACAGAGTGTCACGTCTCACGATGTCAAGAAGTACATGTAACGGATCAAACTGTAATGAAAGTTTGAGGACTATCGAGATCTTAGAAATATACCAGGTGAATGAAACTATATACTTCGTGTTTCCTGAGTCGAACAGGCTCACCTTTATCCAATATCGGAGTACGAAGTATGTGCCGGCAGACAACACCTCAGTATGGAAACTCAATGACAACCTTGGTCTCCTGCCGGCGGTCGAACCGCGCGTAGTACTCAGGTGCCTGCTCGATATCAATGACGGCGCTCACGATGGAGCTTGGGTGCACCTTGCCGGCGGAGATGAGATTCAGCATCTCAGTACCGAGGGCTAACGGCGCGGAGATGCCGCCACGCACTGAGAAGCCGTCTAAGAAGAGAGGCTTGAGGTCGACGGTTTGAGCCTGGTCCCCGGCTCCATAGACCCCGACTATACCGATGCCGCCTTGCGGCGCCACTACCTGCCCCGCCTGGTGCAGCACGATGCTACTGTTGACGTTGCCCTGCGCATCCTCGGCCTCCCATCCGACGCAGTCGACGACGCGAGTAATACCGCCCGGCTCGACGCGAAGCAGCGCCTCCACTGGATCCTCTGACGCGAAGTCGACCGGGATAGCGCCGTGGGCGGCGGCCAGGTCCAACCTGTCCTGTACGTGGTCGACGACGTAGATCTTTGAGGCGCCGCGCACTCCGGCGGAGATAACGGCCATCTGGCCCACGGGCCCAGCGCCGAACACGGCAACCGTATCGCCGGGACGTAGACCGGCAAAGTCGAGTGCTGCCCAGCCCGTAGCGAGAATGTCGGACATGAAGAGGTAGTCGTAAATTGTCGAGGAATTGGCGCTACTGTTGATAGGCACAGGCATAAGGGAGTCGTCCGCGTATGGGATTCGCGCGTACTCGGCTGTAGTAAGAGGCCGTGTCAACAGTATTCTATATATGACTGCCACCTCCACACATAAGATGGCCAAAAGCAGATAGACGTACCTTGCATGCCGGTCTCAGACGCCAGGGGCGCATCGATCGAGGGCCCATATTGGTAGTGACCGTCGTCAAGCGCGAAGGGAATAACGACCCAGTCGCCAGCCTTCAGGGTCTCGACAGAGTCGCCGACTTCCTCAATGAAGCCAATGGCCTCATGGCCAATCCGCAGAGGGTTCTCAGGTGAGCCCAAATCCTGGTGATAGTTGTGTAGGTCGCTACCACAAATCGCTGCTGCTGTAATGCGCACAATGGCGTCGGTTCCATTCACAATGGTCGGTTTAGGCACATCGATGACGGTGATATTATACGCGCCCACCAAGGCGACGGCACGCATGAGAGACTGCATGGCGGTAAATGTCTGGATGTTTCTGTACAAGACGATGAGAGCCCAAGGAGAGAGCTATAACACCACATATACGACCGGGCATCGGTCACTTATCTACCCAGACTGAGCTCTACAATTCCCATGCCCCGGGAGGGGGCGATAAGGTTGTGTTTCTGCGTCGTCATCTCGAGCGACGATCTGCGTCTACGGTGCAAGGGTTGATGTCGTTAAATGTTTTCCTCCTCTACGAGCTTGCTCGGCCCGTAACTATCTCTCCACAAGCTTACGTTGCCTGCCCTCAAGATGTGCAAAGTGTATCTTTCTGAAATATCATGATTTGCCAACTGATCAGCAGGGAACCTGATTTGTGGAAAGACTTATCATATCAATGGCAGCGAAAGAGTATATGGAGAAATATGTATTGAAGTTACGAATCAACCCCTTGCGACCTATATTGCCAAACGTAGGACGTCCAATTCTGCCAAACAGCATGGCTCATTATCAGAACACTAATGCAGCCGGCTTACACGGACATCGGACCGACCAAGTGTTTATTCATGGCGGAGATGTGTTTCAAGCAGAGAAACACTTGGCGCTGCATGGATCAGGTGGATGCGGGCGAGAGATCAGCGTTCCTTAAATCGATCACCCATCAGTTCAGACATGTAGTTGATGAACGCCTCCGTTTATCTAATATCTGCCACACTTTGTTTACTACCTGCTTCACTGATAATCATACGACAAAGACTTTTTCTCTCCAATCCATCTCGTCAAGCTGAATATTTGAGCATGGATTTCCCAATCTATCTTGTAAATGATAATGCCGAATTTGCCAGGATTAATCGTTGCATCCGCGTCCACACCTTGCTATAATGAGCACAGCCCCTGCCGTAAGCAACTTGCATTAGAGCTGCCAAGGGGGTTTACAACTTGCGTAAGCATGCAAGGGTAATAGGCATATAGCGCGCCATGTAAAGATCATGGACCATCCGATCAGTCAATTATACCATATCGGGGTCTTTACCAGAATGCTTGATCTTCTGGCTTAGTTAGCAAATCAAGGGCTGTGCTTCAACTATAATAGAGAACACAATGTCAACACATCATAGCGTCAGATCTCAATGCTAGCACAGAGGTCTGTCATTCCAATTACACGAACTTGAGCGTAGGCTCGGATGAAATTCGCCTTTTGACTATCGGAGCAGAACCGGTCCAGCAAGCGAACTTTGCCAGCTCTCGACCAAATGCGGCTTTGCCTGCGTTATATACTCTATTTTCTAATGGTTGGAGGCCGTGCAAGCGGTGTACTGGAAGATAGAAACAGTAAACGTTGTTAGAGAAGCACGTCCCGCTCGCGTTTCTAATATCTATGGTGCGAGGATCGCAGATTCACCCATGCCTGACATCTCCCACTCCATTCTCTAACGTAATATGTTATATCTGTGGCTCTGCCGAACCAACTTGCACTATTTGACCTAACACATCACCTTTCCAATGTGGCTCTGTTCGGATCATCGCAGGCTGACATTGATTGCGGTACAATATCCGGTCTAGTCAGGGGGGAAGCGTGGCACAGCCAGGATGAAAACCCATCCCCGTTCTAGCCATAAAACCCGCGAGGCCTCACTTTCTCTTACCGACCGATCAGATCATTCCTTCGGCCACGCCCCTTGCCGAAAAGGGCCGTGGTCATCTCCGAGCTCAAACGGACAGGTCGATCACCGCGGCGGGCTCGGCTGCAGCGAGGCAGTCAAGGGTTAAAATGATCCCCGACCAGGTTTCAAACCCAGCACATAGGCTAGCTACGAGGCCTGCCCGGCACACCGACGTCAGAGCTCCATTCTCTACATCACAGCTTCTGGATGGCTTCTTCCAGATGTCGCCCTCATTTGGAAACCCCCATGATCTGGCATGCTTTCGAGCTTTTTAGTGTTGAGGCCCAGAAACGGGAAGAAGACGCAAGGGTGGAAAATGGTGACCGCGGCAACGGCGAGAAGAGTCATTGTTGCGTCCAGTGCCAAAAACAAGGGCTCATTGCGCCTAACGTCTCTCGCAATCGATGGTATGTGCTCCAGTATTCTGCAACACAGTTAGTGTCAGGACTGAGTGGAAATTGGCCAATGTTGGTAAGAAGAGAGTGTAGACTTGCCGATACGCACAGCGAATGATGATGGCTGGATATGCGATCCCAACAGCATAAACAAAAAAGCGCGCCCGACGTGCCTCTGTCGCCGAAGACTCTGCCCGAGAAGAAGCTATTCCCATGCCTGCTTTTCCTCCATCACCCATTGGGATAGAATCTGGCATGGGAGCTGGAGCAAGAGGGATGTTGCCGGAAGCCGAGTCTGGTTTAAGAAGCTCCAGGCCGTATCTCGCGGTACCGTTCCGCCGCCTTACATATATCATCATGAGAGCCGAACAAATGGCCATATTGACGACCTGGAAAGCTACACCCCCCAGGAGGATCATAACTTTCGACAGCATATTCAACGTTCTGTTCCCTTGGTCAGCCGCACCGGCCGCCAGCGCAAAGGCGCCAATGAATTGGATGATGATTGTCAAGAATTCCGTCCCAACTAAGACCCAGGGGTAAAGTGATGGTCGAAGAACAGACCACTGTGGGCCGTACCAGATGACCAAATGCTTGAAGGTGATAGAGAGCGAAGCAGCAATGAATGTCGGAGCCAGTAGGAGGGTCATTAACTGGGCTATATACGAGCTTGCAGACCATGGATTTCTCGAAAGACTGACTCGTGCCAAGTGGCCGAGTATCTCTAAAGATGTCCCGATACCAAGCCATATCATGAAGGACCATGTTCTAGCTTTGATTCCAAAGTAGACTTGTAAAAGAAGCAAAAGGCTAAAGAAACTGGTGAAGAATATTGCAGCGCCGAGAGATAGTATCGACCCAGTGGCTGTAGCCTCGATAGGGCAGAGTTCAGAAACTTCGGTGCAATCGTCGAAAGATGACGCCGAGGTGGCGTTTTTGCTGGCCATTTTGCCTCCAAAACGCGGTTTACTAGCGAGTGAGGGACGGTCCGTTCCGGCGCACAAATAATAGGTAAAAGGGGTGAGCAAAAAGAGAGCCAGAAGAGAAGTTGCAAGAGAACAGTAACTAAGGACGAGACGTGTCAAGGCTTTTGACTAATGAGTCAATATCAAGGTTCTCTACAAAGAAGATCATGCGGCAACTTTTGTAACATTCCCAGATAATCACCTCGCCAATGTACGAAAAGGGGTGATTTGGTCGAATAGATGCTTACGCGGCTTGAGGTGTAAGAGCAATGTGGCTGAGGGCATTCTCATATTACCGCAGTGGGGATGACTGGAATTTGCTAGTCTCCTTGTCTACGTACTGTCTTTATTCTGACCAGGATGAATCACGAGAGGCCGCCAGACACCAGGCTTTTGGACCAATGCGAGAGCCGTGTCTCAGCTGCCATCACATCAAGGCTAAAGGGATCAAGCAGGCCGACGTTATCTCAGAAATCTCCAATACTTCGGTTAGTATTCGAGTCTTGTTTTGGAAAGAACGCCGTATCGATGATTTCAGCAGCGGAGATGGTTCTTATCCCCTAAGCTCGAGCGCTCGTCTCTATGTGGACGTTGTCTCTCAGCCCTTGGGGAACGGTTGCCACAAAATACCCTGAGCTCTCGTGTCATCGTCTGCTCTGGCCGAGTACCGGTGGCAACGACTGAGGGAGGTGGCGCCTTGGATTCGAAGTGTACTATAAACATAGTCAGACTTCCCAGCCAACTGCTCTACCAAGCCTTGATTCGTAACCAACAGGAGGCTGATGTACCATATTCGATCACCAATGTTCTGGCCTCGTTAAAATCCATAGCCGATGGTATGAAACTGTCCATGGTGCTCACAATAATGGCCTTGCTGTGTGGACACCAACAACCCTCTGCAGATCACAGATCTGGAGGGGCAGTACCTACTGTTCGCGTGAACTCATGGAGCCCCATGTAGCCCCATGTTCCCGCCATGTTCGTGGTCCTCGACCTGTGCAGCCTGTGTAGTGCGTAAGCATCAGGAGGGTTTCTTGTTACGGCCTGGCCGTCCACTTCAAGAGGTCTAGACTGATAGGATGTCGCCGTTTGGCACTCAGGCAATGCCCCTTTGGCAAGGCCTCTTTCAGCACTTCATAACCTTCCATAGACCTAAGCAACCAAATAGTCTTCACGGGGAGGACAAGAAGATAAATTAAAAATATGTCTAAGAAATTGATTTGCATCTTATCGGGGCAGTTAATAATAGAGGAAATCATGGAGAAGACTTCCAAGTTACGATCGATTATGGTTCTTGTAGGCATCGTATTTAAAGACATGGTGTTGAGAGATTATAGCTTAAGAAGATAGAAAGGTAGATAATTCTCTTATTTCTCATATGGAGGTTAGAGTAATTAAAATACCTATAAGAGGCTAGACTTTTTATAATAATATAGCTAGGTATAACTCTTTTATTGCTATAGAAGTTTAAATAGGCTATTATATTAATATTAGGTTATGATATTATATTGTGTTTAAGATCTATTCTTTATTATAGTTGCAGCCTGGCCCTTGATGGGTTAACTGAGCCCGAAGATCGACTTCCAAGTTACAGGACCAAAAACCCTGCCTGGTCTGCAACCACCTGGCAAAGGAATTCCGCTTTAAGCTAGCCCGTAAGCACACTGTATTAGCGCCGCCTTGGCGCACAGCTTAATTTGGCCACATTCGTCTCAGGCAGGAGGCATTCGAAAGGGATGAAGGAAGCATTAACTCTTTCATAATATTAACGCGTCTGGATAGCCATCTCCCTTCTGTCGTACAAAATTCTACACACTTCTGAACCATGAACCAGGCCTTCGACCAGTGAGCTGCGTTGAATGCGTCGCCAGCTGGCATGAAACCCCAGGCCATGATTTGAGAGGTTTGCGGTGCAGGGAAGAAACTACAGCATCTCTTGCGTTACCATGCCCGTATACTTTATTAGAGACACATAGCTTGATACTCTTGTTTCTTAAGGCTCGTTGAAATCATGCCTACTCGGTTCGCTGTGACGGATCGCTTCCACCCCAAACCAAAGCAGCTTCCTGTAGTTATCCGGGTACTCTCACCCCGACCAGCCGAAACCGTGGCGAGACGCTAATGCAGACTGCTTACGCTTTAAACCTTGAACGGCTTAAGACCGGAGCGGGAAGAGAGGGCCCAGGCTCGGGGCGGTCCCACATCTTCCCTACGCAGTATAAATATTGCATGGCGGATCTCCCTGGGAGGGTAAGCAGACTGCATATCTGTCCTTGGTAAACCCTCACCACATTTTCAGCATATCCGCCCCTTGATTTGGCCTATCCTCTGCGATGAGCAATAGCATTCCGAATATGAATAAGCCTGCTTCGACCCTGGTCCTCGAATCAATGCCTCAGCAATTAAGAGCAAGACATGTGGGCGATGACTGGACAGGGGTTACAAGTCCAGCAGAGAGACGGAAGCGGCAGAATCGGATCCATAAAAGGGCGTATCGTATATCTCATAGTACCTATACTCTCTTTCTTTATTCCCCGCACAGCGAATCAGTGGCTCATTTTGTCGCCGCAGAAAAGAAGAGGCATGAACTCCTCGGCAGTCAGCCGAGCCTGAGCCACCCTTCTGTTGCTCCTACTGGCAATTCTAGTGAGCATATAGAGAGTCAGGTACCAGGTCAAGTAGACGATGCCAGGGGGATAAACCGGGCGTAGGAAATTGTCCAACCTGCGGGCCATCTTCTTCTACCTATCGTCGAGTTGTGCATAGCATTTCAAACTTTTACGCAACAAGTGTATTAGGATTATAAGCATGGCGCGCCTCGACTCGACCACCTCAACATTATAGTAAGGGTCAATGTCCTTGCTGCTTTCGCCCACAACGCGACGCTTCTCGGCTTTAAGTTCAGAGGGTTATGTTGTTCAAACCTCGTATTGCCGTTCAACCAACAACAGGGCCCCGACTTGATCGAAACTGTCACGCCATCGCAAGGGTGTCCAGACTGGCTTCACCCAACACCGTTACAGATGACTGTGCGGCACCATCCCTGGATCGACCTGATACCTATTCCTCGCCTGCGTGACAACATCTTGCGCACTATTCAGCATGGGACTCACGATAACACTCCTTTAGCTATGGATATTCTCGACGTGCGAGACATGAGAAGCGAAGCAGCTTGTCTTATTGTATGGGGCGAGTCCTGGGACCCCGACGGATGGGAGGTGGCGCCGCTTACCATGTTAACCAGTTCAAACCTCACCACGTAAGAGATAGCCCAATCACATACCCACCATAGTGCTGACATCAAAATCTAGTTGCTACTTTAGCAGTATGCTCACCCAGGTCGGACTTGCGAGTCAGTCACACATCTCAAGGTCAACTCTCTTCGTGGCCGAGAGGCTCGGGCGCCGGTTCCTTGCTCTGCTGAGCTTGGGTCTCTGCTCCATCATCTTCTACCTGCTAACAGGTCTGACAGCCAAGTTCGGGAATTTGCACAACCTGGCCGGCACTTGCGGCACCGTTGCCTGTATCTTCCTCTTCCCGGGCGCGTACTCCTTTGTCATCACTCCTCTCATAGCCATGTATGTACCAGAAGTTCTGCCGTACAACATACGCGCCAACGGGATTGCAATGCAGGGCATCTTGCTCAATTCGTGTTGAGTGTTGGTCACTATGGTCTTCCCATACATGATGGAGGCTATTGGATGGAAGACGTGCAATTTCAACGTGTCGTGGAAAATCTTTGATGTGGCTTTACATCTACTTCCGGCGGGTTGAGACCAAGGGGTTGGCTCCGGAGGAGATTTGCATGTCCGTCAAGACCTCGATTCGGAGGGGGCCAAGAGTGGCGACGTCAAAGCCCTTCATATTGGTTAATGAAAGTTTTCAGCGTGGGGCCTGATGACGGGGGAAATGTTTGAATGCAATTATAAATTGTAACAATGGTTTGGGTCTCACATTGGCGGGTTTCTCCCCACGCAGATAGGACTTAGTCAACCCTGAGCCTCCTTAGCTCTTTGACCTTGTCGCATGAGATATGCCTATTGAACCAAGTTCTTATTAGGAGGTCGTAGTTGTCTCAAAATCGACATTAATGGCCCAACTATCCAACATTTCATTCAAGAGTGGAAGCCAATTATAAGCTGGCGGTTGGCGGGCAAAGGGACCTTGAAAGTAAACCACGTGTTGCCTGCGTTTCATCTTAGAATAAGCACCGCAGTGCCCCATCTGCATCATCCGTGATCATCCACGAGGATTTCCATGCCAATCCCTGGGGCAAATGTTGGCTGTGCCGGGCAACGCTGATCCTTTGTTGGTGGCTGAGCTTGTCTTACCTCGCCTCTGCTGATCCAAGGCAGTCACCAAAATACTCCCAATCAAGTGTCCCGTCGAGGCTTTATCTGAAGCAAGCCAAGGCTTTGCTCACACAACCCCAGACTAATCCCTGCCTGGTACGTCACAGAGTTTGGGGTAACAAGTCAGCAGCGATGCTTTAATAAGAACCACAGCGACGTCTTCTGAAGTGAATTTGGAGCATAAGCAACATCAAGACTCAATCATGGCATCTCCTCCTCCGTACTATCCCGACAATAATGCGCCAGCCCCGGCTGGAAATGCGCCCCCGCAATACGACAGCGTAGCCTCGAGCTCTAGCCAACCGCTTGCGGCTAAAACTAATACACCAACCTTTCTTCTGGATGACTGTGTCGTGCTGGAGCAGTCCCACAACCGGGTTTACTACGAGCTCGGTAGTCCGCTTGGAAACCCCACGACAGAGCCTTGCAGCATCACAAAGCACTGCTATCCCTCCAATAATGAACCTTGCGAGAAGCCACCTCGCGTGCATCTGTACGATTTCCAAGACACGTGGAGCCAGATGGGGGGCGCCCACCTGGCCATTAACGGAAGAGCCGGCGAGGATCGTGCATACCCGGGACTCTTTCTCGTCCAGGGTGTAGGCTCGGCCGCATACCAGGTTGTAGACCACTTCAAGGCGAGCCAGGGGGTCTTGGATCGAATCAAGAACAAGAACCAGATCACTTGGGTGGACACGAAGGACCGGGTGGTTGGCATCGAGTTCAAGCAGAGCCTCAACAAGGAGTCTGGCCAGACGTCGCCACCCAGGTTCGAGGTCAAAGTTCCGCTGGAGGAAAAGGAGCTTGATCTTCTGGTGACTTGCTGGTGTGCCAAGGTTTGGCACGAAGCTGGAAAGCCACCCAAGGAGCCCATGTCGTGGCAGAAGTGTTAGTATTGACTCGTCCCCTGTTTGACCCCATCTGACGCTAACTGTCATATCCCGCAGTCAAGCGAGTCGCTGGAGAAACTGTAGTGGCTACGGTTGGATCACAAGCTGTATCTGGCGGGGTAATCAACCCATGATGAGATTCGAATGTTTGATGGGTGTTGTTCATGATGAAGCCTCACATTGGACCGTTCCATCGGGAATGTCAGCCACGCCTCTTTGTGCAGGTGGTATTGCGGGGACTTGCATGTTCCGAGATGAGAACTGATAGATTGCATGAATTTTTATCGATGTCTCCTTTCTCCTGCCCCTTCCCGTAGCGTTCTATGCACAGTCTAGTATGCAGTTGGTATGCCGTGACAAACATGACATCTCCCCCGCTCGCTTGGAGACACATGGCGACGAAAGAGTCAAACGATTGGCTCATATTGCTTGGATTGAAAAATAGGGTGGATATGTGCCCATCGAGAACTCTTCTAGCTTAGCAATCGTGTTGTTTGTCAGTGGTGAGTGTCATAAAAGGCGGTTCACAGTGGATTCAACAAACAACCATCTTTTCCTTCTCGATAATCGCAAAACCCCAATCAGTCATTAACCAGTCTCCAAATAACAATCAATCAGCACACGACTCATTGCATCCCACCTTATCAACCATGGTTTGAGTCGTGACCCTAGCCCCGGACTTTGATCAAAGGCCGTTGTCGCCCACGCGGACTCTCCGATAAGCCAGCCACTCACGGGCCCACACTAGCTCGCGGAGACATTCCTCTTTAGAAAGCCGCTGTCGTGTGGTTTCCGTGGCCAATCTTGCCCCCCTCATTCTTCTGGATACAGAAGACCTCAGTTTGCTCCCCCCCCCCCCCCGGATACTTTCTCTCTTTCGTCTGCAATGCAACAGGGGAACTTGCATCATCCTCGTCCGTCTTCTTCTTTCATACCTACGCAAACGACCCACTTGCCTATCTCGAATTCCCCTTCTGTCGGTTTCTTTCAGATCAGATGCCTCGACAAAGCGGGACCAAGGTTGAGCGTACGCGCACCTTTACTGGATGCCGGACTTGTCGAAGCCGGCATGCAAAGTGTGACGAAGGTATCGTCAATCGCATCTTACCCTCATCACGCGACACAGCTGACTCCCGGCTCCAGCTCAGCCAGAATGCGGCACCTGTCGGAGACTCGGACTCACATGCGGTGGGTACGGAGCCCGCCTCTTCTGGATCACAGACGATGCAGTCCGGCCGGAGCTCCAGCAGAGCCATCGGGGATCCGAATACCGGTACCCACTCTTCTCCGGTAAGTTCTCCGGTCCCGGATATCCCAATGCCGAAACGGAAGCTGATGTTTCGCAGAGGTTGATCGCAGATTGATGAGTGCCGAATTATCAGACAGCTTGGGCAAGCAGTCTGCAATGGACATCTTGGCAGATATTGACTCTGCGTGCGATAAACTGGCTGGTGGAAACTCGGCCATGATCAAAGGCCCTTTCGGTGTTTTTCAATCAATCGAAGAGCCATCTCCGGCTGATGTTCTCACATCCTCCCCAGACACCGAAAACTCGAATACAAACACATATCCCGATACCGACAGCTTCATCGAGGAGGTACAGCGGCATGACTGGCCCACTCATATCGGAGATGACTTGGATCTGTTTACCGGACCTCTAGATCCGAGTCTTTCTCTCAACCCTGAAGAACCAACAGGTTCAGAACAAGTTCTCATGCCAGATCCATCCATGACAAACTTCTTCCTCGATAATTCTATGGGTGTTGAAGGCTTGGCGCTCTTCAGCCCCAACTTTATCACCCAGGCGATAGAAAGCGAAGCAATTGGCCACGCAGATGGCCACGGAGATGACCATCAAAACAGCTCATTCAGCCATTTAGAAAACGAAGTTGTACCATGTCCCCGGGCGCTCCCACAGGCCAATGGGGGCAATTGGGGACTTCCAGAAGAGGCGGAGCCATTACTTCGATACTACAGAAAACACGTGGCTGGTGAAAGAACAGCGATGCACGCAAAACGAAAGTCTCCGTGGGAAATCATCTTTTTACCCTGTGCCCTTGAAACCTTTGCCGAGCTCTCTCTTTGGAACGAGGCGTCACATACACGATCTACGATATTCTATACCCTTCTTGCCCACAGCGCTCTTCAGCTACACATGTCGAACAAACCCAGCGCGTTTTCTTCTGATTGGAAAGAGATTGGAATAAGGAATCACGAGAGGGCTCAATATCATCTACGCAATGCTCTGCAACTCGAGATGTTTGGTCCTAAGCAGGCGAACTACAAGGAGTTGCTAATGGCCATTCTCGGCATGGCCATGACTTCGGTTTGTTTTCTCCTCTACGTCCTACTTTTGACTTTGGCTAACAAGCTTCACAGTTGCATAGCGGTGCTCGCGCTTTCCGCGTCTTCCTCCTCGATGCCGAGAGACTTATCCGACTTCGAGGTCTGATCAACCAGAATCCATTTAAAACACGGATGCTACATCACATGTATACCCATCTCCGCGTTATTGCGGAGAGTATATCCTTGTGCGCCGACCCCAATACCGATGGCTCCGATGAGGTCAATAGCACCGACCTCACCCATGGCCGAACGTTTCGAATCACTGAGGATGCCCTGAATATCGGCCTTGATCCAGCGCAAGAGAAATCAGAGGAAATAGGGTATAATGACATCCATCTCGAGATGCAGGGCCGTTGGAGCCATACATTGTATCCTGTCATCTACGGCATTCCAGAGTCCTTGATGACTCTTTTGTCACAGACAGTCTCGCTGTCGAATGAAAAGACGCGTCTTGAGAATGTGGCCCGCTGCAACCCAGGAGTTTCAGTAGCCCTGGCCAGACATACAAAGACACTTGAGAACAGAATCTGGGCATGGACTCTAGCGCTCGACCCTCAAGGACCTCCAAAGCCAACCCGTTTGCCCCTCGGCACGGATCAAGATCTGATGGCCCACCCTCAAGTTCGATCAATGGCTCTGGCGATACATCAGGCCCTCATCATCTACTTCTACCGTCGGGTATACGACATGAACGCCATGATTCTCCAGGATCTAGTCAAGAAGACTCTGGACTTCCTGGAACCCTGTTTGAACGAGTTGATTGATGATCAAGACTTTGCCACCAGCCTCGCTTGGCCTGCATTTGTTGCTGCTTGCGAAGCCGTATCTCCGGAGCTTCAAGAGCGAGCCCTTAAATGTTTGTCGGTCACCGACGACAAGGGCATCTACTTTACGCCAAAGCCAGCAAAGGTGATTGTGCCGATGATTTGGGATAAGCGGAAAGAGTCTGGAGACTGGACCGCAAGCTGGCAGAGTCTGGTGTCGGATAGCTTGCTCTAGAACTTGAGTAATGACTTACGGATGAATTACAGTTCTTGCCATATTTGTCGCGCTATGCACCATTTGCTTCAAGAAGATTGTGAAAATTCATTGGATTCATGTCTATTTACTTTTTTACTTTAACTATTAAACCTTTTCCTTGTCAGGTAATTTTACGCGAGAGGCACGCCAGCATCCTTCAGCAGACCAGCCAGCTCCGCCCGCTCATCATCGGGGAGGAGATGGAAGGGCTTTCGCAGACCACCAGTCTTCCATCCTCGCAGCTCCATGCCAGTCTTGACGGCAGGACCATACTGGTGAGCCTCGAGGAACTTGCAGATGGGAAAGATCTTAGACCAAATCTCACGACCCTTCTTGAGGTCGTTCTCAACGGCGAGGGCGTTCCACAGCTGCACCGACAGCTCGGGCAGGACGTTGGTGGTACCCCAGACGGATCCCTTGGCGCCGGCGGCAAGGCCGTAAAAGGTAAGGGTGTCCCATCCGTTGAGGGCTGTAATGCTTCCGTGGTGGTGGAAGAGGAGGTCGGTCAGGGCCGGGGCATTTCCGGACGTGTCCTTGAGGTACTTGACGCCCACCTCGGAGAGGCCAGCGATTTCTAAGGGCGTCAAGCTGACGCCACTGGCAGCGGGGATGTTGTAGTACATGATGGGGAGGCCGCTGGCCTTGTGAATCTCGTCAAACATGTCCCGGAGCTGGGCCAGGCTGGGGGCATCGTAGAAGGGGGGCACCACCATGAGGCTGTCGGCGCCAACCTTGGCGGCATGCTTGGCCAGATCGACGACGCCGGCCGTGGTCAGGTCACCGATGCCAGCGATGACGGGGACGCGGCCGGCAGCCGACTTGATGCACTGCTCGAGGACGGCCTTGCGCTCGTCGACGGTCAGGGCGGTAAACTCTCCGGTGCTGCCGCCAGGGACCAGGCCGTGGACGCCGGCGTCAATCTGACGCTGGATGTGGACGTCAAGGGCAGGGAGGTCGACGGCCCCATCGGCGGTGAATGGAGTGATGAGGGCGACAAGGATGCCGGTGAGTTCCTTCTGGGGGGCCATTTTGAAGTTTTAAAGAAGAGATAGTTTGTTGCTGGGATAGGGAGATATGAGATGAGAATGCAACTTGATGATGATGGGGATGAGAATAAAGAATAACTCGTCTGATCAAAGCATTCACATTGTCTATTATATGCGTATCATGTTCCCCTCTGGAGCATCTCCCTTCTACAAATCAGTATATACCCCGCGTCGTTGGTGTGGAGTGGGAAACTCTGTAAAGGGTCTTGCCTCTTCGAAATAGGTAGGTCTCCACGACGGGGTCGGCGAGGCCTGCCACGCGGCAACCCGCGGGAGGAGCGGCGAGAAGCCTCTTATTAGGGTGTGATTGTGATGATTAGGGAGACTTTCCTGTTCGGAGGGGCGCTTATCAATGCGATAACAATAAGCACGTGGACCAGAGGGCGATCCGTTTGTATACGCAATCTTGCCATGGTGTTTGACATTATCAGCATCTTGAAAGGATGACCCCGGCCTTATCCCGGTTTCCATAAGGGTTCCAGAAGGCGACCCACGGTTTTAGGGGTCGTGTCCACTACGTCAGGGTCCAAAGTCCAGGGTAGCTCCCACAGATAAGCTCAAGCTCATGATGTGAATGATTGATGACCCTTGAGGATGATGTTGGGAAGAAATGGAGTATATAGGAAGCCGGTCTAATAGGGATTTGATCCTTTATCGATGATATGGGTACGAATCGAGTATTGAACGTTTGATGTGTGTATGACCGAATTGTATTCACGTCAGGCATCTTAGTCACGGTCGCAACAAGAGGAGAACACACAGTTAATTTTCGACCTTGCAAACCCTGGAGAAGTCATATCTAGCAAAACACTCAAAAATCTCTTCTACAGTCATACATTTAATTAAATCCTTCTATCAAGACACAGATTAGACACACGTTCACGAAATGGCGAGGAGACCAGCCCCCAATACTCGCAGCAATGCAACGCTCAATTCTACTAGTACAATGCTATCAAACAAACTCCATGCCAATCTAACAGCTGGTATAAACTTTTTACAACTTGGCCAAAATACCTTCCGAGTTGAGAAACGCGAGATGACTTCGCGAAATGTCCTTGATAGTGCGACATCTAAGAAATTGTCAGTCATTTAAACACCTAACAAGATCAATGGCAACATACCCTGCGAGCGCCATGGCAAGCTTGAACTCGTACATGAGGATCTTGAGGGCGAGCTCTACACCCTCTTGGCCGTTGTACTACACACATTGTTAGTATTGGTGAGTCGCTTACTTATGAATTGGCACGTACCGCAAGCCCCCAGATGGGAATTCTTCCGACAAAGCAGTGGCTGGCTCCCATGGCGAGCGCCTTGAAAATGTCGGTACCTCGTCGGATGCCACCATCAACAGCGACGGGAATCTTGCCATTGGCCGCGATGACACATTCTCGGAGCGCGTCGAGAGTCGCAGGGACACCGTCTAGCTGTCTACCACCGTGATTCGACACAATGACACCGTCAAGACCGTACTTGATGGCCAGCTGGACATCCTCAGCGGCATACACACCCTTGATCCAGAGCTGAAGCTTGGTGTGTTGGCGTAGCCAGGGAATGGCAGTGTCCCAGTCGAGCGACGGGTCAAAGTCATGCTTGCTCTGTGTAAGATCCTCGCTGGATCCGCTGAGCTCACTCTTGCCATCAGACAGCAGATTGGGCCAGGCCATGTCGTCGGGGAGGACAAAGTTGTTGCGATATTCGTTTAATCGGCGACCGAGCATGGGAACATCGACAGAGAGGAAGATGGCCTTGTATCCGGAGGCTGTAGCAAGAGTTGTTAGACGCGATTGGGATGCGCGCTCAATTGAACTCGGACTCACCTTCAGCACGTCGCAACATCTGGAGTGTTGTTTCGCGATCGCGTAAAACACAGAGCTGCATTACATAAGGGTTTCCTGATCCTTGGGCAGCGACATCTTCAAGAGACGCCGTCGCGTACGAAGAGAGACCCATGCAAATGCCAATGTTGGCAGCAGCTCGTGAAGTAGCAATCTCGCCATCAGGATGCGCCAGACGATGCATAGCAGCTGGACTAAAGCCTAGAGGCAGCGCCGTCTTGCATCCAAATATTTCGGACGAGATATCGACATTGTCAACGTTGACGAGAATGCGCGGTCGGATCTTGTACCTGTTGTAGGCCTCTTCGTTGTCTCTCAATCTGCAGCATGCCAATGGTAAGCCGTGGCGTAAACACAAACACACAGAGGTAACAAATCATACGTAACCAGATCCATAGCACCTTCATTGAAGTAGTCTATGGTTACACAGTCAGCATGGGTCCGTCTGGCCTGTTCCTGGCCTGAGGATGCAGGGTGTAGCTACCCCGATACATCTTGGGGAGCTTCTTGCTGCCAAGGTCCTTGAGGTCCGCAATTGTGTGGACATGGGGATCCCACGAGACGCCTCGGTTAGCCATTGTGAAGGTATGATAGTATCCAAAGGGAGTCTTGGTCTCGATAAGAAGAAAGAGATGAGAATTGACGACTTGACAATGTCTAAAAGTGACAGCAGCAGCTCGAAGCCGGTCAAATAACTTTCATAGCTGACCAGAAATGATCCGGGCCCCCATACCCCAGCTTGCCCATGCTTGGGGAACATGCCTAAATCGATCAACAAATGCGTCCATGTGATCAATTGGCAAAAGAAAGCCAGCAGTCTGGAAGCCTTATCTCGCCGGCGAGGCCTGCCTGTCTTGGAGGATGAGGCTAACGGATGCCCGCTTCGGCCGATTCAGACCGCGCCGCTTCGGATCTTTGGTAGGAAAGTGGCCATCGGCAGCGGGCCAAGGTTTGTGGGGAAATGGGGGACTGCTTGTGCGGAGAACAACCGTTCAAGGCCGGTCCGGGCCTCCGACTCCGGATCTTGAGTTTTGACAATCACAAGATCAACTCCGGACGTTTTGGAACAATCACGGCGGTTTGACTTGCCTTATTTGACAAACATGGCTTCTGAATCCAAGATGATGAAAAAGAAGAATTGTTTGGCTTGAGAAACCAGACAATGATAAAGGCATCCGACTTCACGACTTCTTGCTCCTCCAGACACGCCAGACAAACTCGACCATCAACCTCGTCGCAGCCATGAAGTCCGCACGAGCTATTCGACGCATCCCTCGGTCTCTGACACCCCGAGTCACCTCGCGGTCTGCCCACTCCATCTTCAACCGTCCTTCTCCAACCTCCCACGAACAAATCAAAGACCCCCTCCCCACACACAACTTCATCGGAAACAACTTTACCCCCTCGGCCGCCACAAAGTGGATTGACGTCCATGATCCTGCTACCAACAATGTGGTAACCCGCGTGCCAGAGTCTACAGACGAGGAGCTCCGCGCAGCTGTCAAGGCCGCACAGGATGCCTTTCCCGGCTGGAAGAACACGAGCATTCTGCGTCGTCAGCAGATCATGTTTGAGTTTACACGGCTGATCCGTCAGAATTGGGACCGTCTTGCCTCGTCTATTACACTGGAGCAGGGCAAGACTTTTGCTGATGCCCGTGGTGATGTTCTCCGTGGCCTTCAGGTTGCCGAGACGGCTTGCGGAATCACTACGCAAATCACTGGAGAGGTTTTGGAAGTTGCCAAAGATATGGAGACTCGTAATGTTCGAGAGCCTCTCGGCGTTGTTGCCGCCATTTGCCCTTTCAGTAAGTCCCCAAACCAACAGACACGCAACATCAGGAGATGCAAGCTGACTCTTATGTCTTTAAGATTTCCCTGCCATGATTCCACTGTGGTCCATCCCGATTGCGACCATCACCGGTAACACGCTCGTCCTCAAACCATCGGAACGCGACCCGGGCGCTGCCATGATCCTTGCTGAAATTGCAAAGGAGGCAGGTTTCCCTGAGGGAGTCGTCAACATCATCCACGGAACGCACCGTGCGGTCAACTTCATCATCGACGAGCCCGCCATCAAGGCCATCAGCTTTGTCGGAGGCAATGCCGCTGGAGAGTATATCTACTCCAGGGGTTCAGCCAACGGCAAGCGTGTTCAGGCCAACCTCGGAGCAAAGAACCATGCCGTCGTCCTGCCCGATTGTAATAAGAAGAGCACTATCAATGCCATCACTGGCGCTGCCTTTGGTGCCGCTGGTCAACGATGCATGGCTCTGAGCACCGTCGTTCTCGTCGGTCCAGACACCAAGTCATATGTCGATGACCTCGTCTCAGCAGCCAAGCAGCTCAAGACAGATGGAGGCTTTGAGGATGGTGCCGACCTCGGACCCGTCATTAGCCCAGAGTCCAAGTCGAGGATCGAATCATTAATTGCCTCAGCTGAGGAGGAGGGCGCACAGATTGTTCTCGACGGTCGCGGGTACGCTCCCGACAAGTACCCCTCGGGCAACTTCATCGCCCCAACCATCATCACAAGGGTGACCCCGAGCATGAAGTGCTACACCCAAGAGATCTTTGGACCCGTGCTGCTGGTTCTCGAGGCCCCTACCCTCGAGGCTGCCACAGACCTCATCAACCAGAACGAGTACGGCAACGGAGTAGCCATCTTCACCAACTCGGGCAGCAAGGCCGCCTGGTTCCAGAAGAACATTGAAGCCGGTCAGGTTGGAGTCAACGTTCCTATCCCCGTGCCCTTGCCCATGTTCAGCTTCACCGGCAACAAGAAGAGCGTGGCGGGTGGCGGCTCGAGCACCTTTTACGGAAAGCCCGGACTCAACTTTTACACCCAGACAAAGACCATCACGACTCTCTGGAGAGGTGAAGAGGAAGCAGACCACGGAAAAAGTGTCAACATGCCGACGCAGAGCTGAACAAATAGGGAAGAAAAAGGGGCGCAGGGATGGTAGGGGCGTTCGGAGGAGTGGATTTGGGTACAATCCGTTCAAGGCAGTTGGAGCGCAGATCGCGAGACATTTTGACGCGCAAGGAAGCTCAATAGAAGAATTCCACGCATAGAGAAAGCCAAAAACCAATGCAAACAAGGATACCGTCGCACATCTTATCTTGCCTCTCGTTGCTGCCCTCATCGGGAGCACTCCCGACATTGTCAGCCGTAGTCGACGGGGTAATAAAACCGTCTCCTCTTTTGCCTCAGTAACACGACCATGGATGGTGGAGAAGCAGTGGAGACGGTTCCGACGCGGGAGAGTCCCCAACTCGTCAGAGAGTCGGCAAAGCTAACCCCGTTGCTCAGTGGAACTCCAACGTCATACCTCGGACACATTGCTACGTGTTTTTGTCTGGGATTCCTATTTTTCTTACGTACTGAGAGCAACGTCTCTCTGCTAGCAACGAGCCTGACTCGACTGACGCTCAGCAAGCTTTTGCCAATGCGGAACTCACATCTCCGCATGCTGCTAACAATCCTTGAGCGTTCTCGCCCCGTGGAGTTTACCCCCAGCTTTTCTCCTCTCTACCCCATGAGTCCGTCGACTTACCCCATGGGGGAGCAGACGTGCCAATTCCAACTCGTGAAAAAGCGTGCTTTCTCCACCCTCCATCGTAGCATCTACTAACCCCGTAGAGATAAGCTCCGGGCTGTTCGCTATCGCTGACGCCGGTCGAGGGGGGGCGAGGTTTTTGAACCAAGGTTTGCAAGGAACCCACTCTCCCGGTCTAAACCCTCTAGGTTGGAATCATGACCCTGTCATAGCCTGTTTCCCTGTCGTTTGGCCTGATACGACCCATGGATGGGGGCGAGGAAGAGCTAACCTCCAGCGTTTGGCCTGGTCGAATCGTTGGCTTGGTCAGAGCGTTGCCGTCAATGTCAATCGCTATAAGTTGAGCCCACAATCCCCAGATCATCAAGTCTTGTTTGTGGATCAGTCTGTTTTCAAGTCTCTCTGCTCATCCTTCTCTTGCATCTGTTCTGGTTGCATCTCGTCTTGGCCATATCCATCTCTCAACTCCGGCGCCATGTCGCAGTATTCGAGCCCTCCCACGGAAAAGGACATGAAGCACGAGCAGGACGTCGAGTTCAACAATGGACTCACAACTGTGCCCTCTCAGACGGGCGAGGTCCACGACGATGTCTTTGGTGATATCACTGACGAGGGACCCAACTATCGTGCTGTATGTAGATGCCAAGATGGTTGAGGCTCATAGACTAACACCTCATAGGTCGGTTGGATCGGCACCGTTGCCCTCATGATGAAGACCCAGGTCGGTCTTGGCGTCTTGTCTATCCCCGCCGTTTTCGACGTCCTTGGCATCGTTCCTGGTGTTATCTGCCTTATTATCATCGCTGGAATCACGACTTGGTCTGATTACATGGTTGGAGTTTTCAAGCGTCGCCACACCCAGGTGTATAGTATCGACGATGCGGGTGATTTAATGTTTGGCCGTATTGGTCGTGAGATTCTGGGAATAGCTTTCTGTCTTTGTAAGTGCTCTTGAAAGGATCACAAGATTCAAACTAACAATGCCAAAGACTGGATCTTCGTCGCCGGATCTGGTATGCTGGGTATCTCGATCGGTCTGAACGCTGTCTCGACTCATGGCGCCTGTACCGCTATCTTTGTTGCCGTTGCCGCTATTGTTGGATTCAGTCTCGCGAGTATCCGTACTCTTGGCCGTATCAGCTGGCTTGCTTGGATCGGTCTTGTCTGTATTCTTACAGCCAGTAAGTTTCCCGTGACTCTGCATAGTTTCGTTTCTGACCATGAGCAGTCTTTACTGTCACCATCGCCGTTGGTATTCAAGATCGACCCGCTGCTGCGCCATCGACCGGACACTGGAAGTCTGACTACAAGGTCGTTAACAACCCCTCCTTCACCGAGGGTATTTCGGCTATTTCTTCCCTGGTCTTTGCCTACGCCGGTACTCCTGGCTTCTTCTCCATCGCCTCCGAGATGAAGAACCCAGCCCACTATACTCGCTCCCTGATGATCTGCCAGGCTGGTGTTACTATCACCTACATAGTCATCGGCTGCGTCGTGTACCTGTACTGCGGTTCTTACGTTGCCTCGCCCGCTCTCGGCTCAGCTGGTCCTCTGATCAAGAAGATCGCCTACGGTCTTGCGCTTCCCGGCCTCATCGCTACCACGACTCTCGTCATCCATTTCGCCGCCAAGTACGCTTTTGTCCGCATCCTTCGAGGCTCCAAGCACCTGGCTTCCAACAGCCCTATTCACTGGGGAACTTGGCTCGGATGCACTTTTGTCACTTCCATCATTGCCTACGCCATTGCTAGCGGTATCCCTGTTTTCGGCGGTCTCGTCTCCCTCGTCGGTGCCCTCCTCGGCACGTTGATGTCTTTCCAGCCGATGGGATGCATGTGGCTTTACGACAACTGGGCTCCCGGCCGACGCGATCCCACCCTTCGATGGTATCTCATGGTTGCTTTCAGCGTCTTTGTCATCGTTTCTGGTACCTTCCTGATGATCGGAGGTACATACGGATCCATTGTTAGCATTATTGATTCTTACAAGGAGTCTGGTGGTTCGTCTGCCTGGTCTTGTGCCGACAACTCCAACTCTGTTTGAGCTTGAGTGGTGTGATATTTTGAGGATGTAGAACTAGCGTGGAGCATTTCGAGGGGGGGCATTCTGCATTACAGTATATAAATTCATAAAGGATAGACATCTTTTGATCCTGACACATCTTTGTCTCCTTTCATTAAGCTCGTGATACCTTCTCGCTACGCCGCTTCTGGTGGCAATCGTGTTCCTTAATGCGGTGTCTTACATGATGAATCGAAAGGAGCAGCGGGATCGCCATTCAGGGCATTGCATTGTCTCGTTCATCGATGTTGAACTGCCGTGCCAAGTCATGATATAGTGTATGCGCTTCTTGGCGCCTGCTCCCTTCCACATGATTCACCTCCCATTTCAACGTAATTCTTAACCCTATCTCCAAATCTGCAATTGTTTTACCTCACCTTCATGAATTTCAACAACCTAGCCATCGACAAGTGCGACATTATTTTACGGATCAGCATCCGACAAAAGCCCCAATAAGACGTCATGTTTCATGCCTCCCTGAACCGTTATTTAAAACTTTCCTAAACCGCTCTAGCTCCGAGATACCGGTTTCCATCGGGGCCGGAAGGTCCGATTCGGTATCCACACCTTATCACGTCACAATCTTCGGTCTTTAGATGTCCGGTTCAGGGTACATCCATCCTGACGTCAGTTAGAGCGGGCCGATCAACGGAGAGAAAAACTTTATTTTCAAGGTCTCATTACCTAAATAGCCCTGGCCACAAGTTGAGCAATTCTGGGTTGGACGATCAATATAAAACTCACGGCCAAGAGATACAGATTTGAGCACTAAGGGGAGTTTACTCATATACCAACAAGAACTCAAGACAAATGTATTAACCATTTTATCCACTCCACTACTCTGACGGAGAAAAGTCTGTTTAATAGACAAGTTTACGCTGAGTTGAAGTTCGTCCCCGTTTACGAATCATCCCTATTAGAGGCCAAGAGTTATTCTTGCACAATATCTATGGGCCTAGGTTGCGCTGTTTCGTTTGGCTTCGACCAGAGTGCTTTGAAAGGAATGATTATTTTTTTCTCTTCCTATTTTGGGATTTGAATAGCGTGGCTTGCCCCCTCTGCTCTTAATTTATTGACAATGGCTTGAATTAGGGGCTTGAACCAAACACGGAATTAAGGAGAGCACATAACTCCAATCCGAATATACTAACCACGAACTATATAATAGGAATTTTATGTATACCAGTAAATTCTATCCCTAGGAAACCACGAGAGCCGACATGGTCAGCTCCACCGGTGACAAAAGCGGCCATAAACCTGTGACTGACGGTCAAAGTGCCATCACGCTTCTCCGTAGCAACATCTTCCAACTTTTCAAAGCACGCGAACACCTTGCTGTCACACTTTTTTAAATCCTCCCCTGTCACACACTTGAGCATGTGAAGGATCGTGTCTCGAATAAAAGGCGCAACCCGAATTGTGACGGCCAACCATTGGTGGACAAACTCGTCCAATGTTAGTCACTCTTAGCAACTGTTGTCTTTACCTTTTCCCGCGTTCAAGACTCTACTGGATACCATCTGCGTGGTTCGACCTTCTTCAGTCACCGGCGTCGCTGCTCATTGAGTAAGGTCAGGTGGCGCTTTATCCGATGCATCGGGTGAAAAGCCGTATTGGAGGGGAGGCATTGCTCCAAGGTCCCATATGTACTGCTCATAGTTCGTTGAGATCAAGCTCTAATAGGCTGGTGCAAAGTTGTCACTCTCTGGGCTGATATGTCAGCACTCCATCATCAAGCTCGTACGTGCTGTTGCCAGCGAAACGCCAGTAGTTGACGAAAGCACAAGATGTCCGCGTGGTCAACAGAGTCAAGCCTATAGTAATGGCCAAGTGCACCAGTCATAATCCATCTAGAGTTTGGGCAGCTCAAATGCAGGTTTTGAATGAGCTACTCGCATCTAACATTATTGTTAAGAATCCTCCGTCTGGGCCAGAGCGGCAACCGGCGAGATCATATCACGGAATTAGATACTTCGCGGTTGGCTTAACCTCTTGTTTCCGTTAAATAGGTCAAGGGACCCAAATGCTACTTATTTCAGGACTGAGCCACCGACTAACGAGCATTCTCGATCTCTTCACTAGAAGCCCCAAAGTACTTGTCCAACTCACCCTCCAGCTCCGACCCTTCAATATGACGCATCTCCCTCGCCCTCTTGACTGGATTGACCTTGTCAAAGTGCGCACTAGCAAAAATGACGTCCAGTTCCTCAAGGCTCCGTCCCTTTGGCTCGGGGAAGAACAGCCAGACACATGGAATGATGGCCGCATTAAACACGGCAAACATGGCATATGTCCTATATCCGAGATTCGCAAAAGCAGGGGGAGTAATCATGACGATTAGAAAATTTGAAAGCCAGTTAGAACATGTCGATAGTGCGTTGGCTTGGATGCGGATGCGGAGGTTTGTGATTTCGGCGGGATAGAGCCAGGTCATTCCAAGCCAGCCTAGGTGGTTGTCAGCAGTGTTTTACTAGTACGGATGGGGAAGCTTACCGATGGCAAAGAAAGAGTTAAATACGAAGAGGAAAACGGTCGCCGTCACGCCATATCGAGTCTCGAGTTGAGGTGCACCGTTGTCCCCTGCTGTTCCGGTAGAGACTGTTCCTGCAAGAACTGCCATGGACGCCATCATTCCGAAAGCACCAAACAACATGAGCTTGCGTCGGCCAGTGCGTTCAATCAGAGGGAGAGCCACGAGGGAAGCAAGGAAATATTCTGTGCCGTTGAGAGCAGCCAGCAAGCGAGACATCTCGGGACCAAAGCCAAGAGAGTTTTCAAAGAGGAATGTGGCACTGCAAGGCGTCAGTAAAGGTCAAAACACGTCGAAAATCCTTTGGCATACTAGTAAGTGACAAGATTGATTCCGCAAATCTGTTGAAAGAACTGAGCGGCAACTCCGAGCATGGTTCGTCGGAAGTTTTGAGAGGGTCCATTGGTGAGGAGTTCCCTATAGCGGAACCCGCCACCTCGGCTCTGCACTTCAAGAGCTTCTTGAATGGCCTTGATTTCTGTGATCACCTCCGGGTCGTCAACTGATTTGCCTAGAAGACGAGCAGTCACATGGCGCGCCTCATCGACACGACCTTGCATGGCAAGCCAACGAGGTGAATCGGGGAGGTAGAGCAGTCCAATCATGACAATAATGGTGAAGAATGATTGAAAGGAGACTGGGAATCGCCAGCGCACAGATCCAGACAGAAAGTAGAATCCATAATCAACCCAGTACGAGATCATGATGCCACCCGAGATGAGAGCACCTGAGAGCGTGATTAAGAAACCACGTTGATGAGGTCGAGCACACTCGGACTGCCACGTCGGGATAGCTATACACAGTCAACAACTATAAAGACATGAGAGTGAATGGGGGGTGCTTACTCGAAGTGACCATGCCGTTTCCAATGCCACCAACAATTCTTCCAGCAGAGAAGAGACCATACTCATGAGCAGAGGCTTGCATGATTGTTCCGATGATCATAATGAGACTTCCCCAGAACGTAGACGACTTTCGACCCCATCTTTCGCCGTAGAAGAGAATAAGGACAGCTCCCAAGAAGCATCCAATCTGGTAAACCGCCACAGCTGCTGCCTGGGTGTTGGGATCGCCAGTGCATTGGTTGGGGTCAGGTTGATTGTTCTCGGGGTAGTCAAGCCAGCAGAGTGGGTTTGAATCGTCCCGTGGTGTCATGAGAACCAGGTTCTTTTGAAAGTCATCCAAAGTAAGGAGGGCACTCAAAACACCTTGGTCGTATCCAAACATGAGGAAACCGCAAGAGGCAATGATGCCGATGGCCCAGTTAAGGGTAGCACCCTCGAGATGTTTGCCGCCGACTTTCCATTCTGGTAGATCACCGAGTCGAGAGAAGAAACCAGTAATACCAGATTGATGTTTGGGCTTCTCATTCACTTGGCCGTCAATGGACGAGGGAGGGCTGGCCCCATTGTCTCTAGGCTGCTCTGATTTCCCGGACATGGTGGGCACAAGTATAAAGAGTAGGTATAAGAGGAGATGGGTTGGAAATTCTGTCACCAAAGACCTGGGAGAAGCCGTGTCTTGTACTCGGCCCCGGAATCGCCCAAAATTTCAACATCGTGGGGCAGAATGGGACTGTGGGAGAAAGATGACTTGGCTGAAGTCATCGTAGACTGCTGACGGGTCGAACCAAGCAGTCGAACCGTCCAACGACTGCGAAGGTATCCACAAAATTCTCCATCTAGAAGCCCAAATAACACACGCTGTTGGTTCAGATTGCCATCTCGTAGGCTTCGGAGTGCCTGAAGCGTTTGAACCTCGGACCACAAGCTTGGCAATCATCTTGGCCTTGATCCTTTGTGGTGAAAAAGCGGCAACTGCGCAGAATTCGTTCTCCACTAAACAGGCGGTAGAATGAATCAATTATATGATTCGACAAGACACCTGCAAATGACTAGGGGTTCAAGTATCATGGCGGTTCATGTGGGTAGTCCAACCAACGCCGAGACATACAATACGGCGCAACATCGGAATCACGAAGACCGGAATACCCGTCTTGGAAGTCCGAGACATGGTAAAATTGGGGATCTGCTTCTTTGATTGAATCTTTGTGCTTGGCGACATGGATAAGCTCCATTGAATGACGTTGGCCAAGTTTAAGCTTAAACTTGTGAGTTGACGATCCTTCTCCACCGAGGAGGTCAGTAATCAAGGCGAGACATGTCTTGGCAGTTTTCTCACTAAGGTAACAAGTGAGGGATCTTGGGACGAGTTACGCCCTTGAATAAAACTATGGAGTGACCAGGTCAAGTTTAATCTCCTCAGCTTGGGTTTATGTGCTGGCCAATCGTGAACGCGCGTTTATTTGTTCTGTTCTGTTGTTGCTTACCTCGATTGCTTTCGATTCTTACTTGTGTTACTATTATTCTAAATTGTAGGTCTTTGGGTCATCTCAAGCCACATAAAGGATTCAGGCCGCAGCCGTAGGCTTTGGAACCATGTCACTTAATCC